TAGGTCAATTGACTGATCACCCTTTGAGACAAATGCATTAGGTAGGACTTTTGGTTGCAAGTAACAGAAACTCAGTTTGAACCAGCCAAGGCCAAGAGGGGACCAACAGAAAGTGGAGGGATATAGTTCTGCCTTTAGACAGCACCAGCTTCTCTCTTTCTTAGCTATGTTTTCCTTTTACATGCATGTTAGCTTCATGGCTGACTCTTAATGCAAACCAGCTTCTTCTTCATGGAGGAGGACATGGCCACTGACAAACTCAGAGTCTTCTAGCACCACTGCCACCACCATCCTCTATTCCCAAGTTAAAAATTTAGAGGAAAGATTCCAATTGGCCAAGCTTGGATCAGGTTGCTAGGAGGTGAGGATATCTCTAAGAAGATGACAGCCCCTACTTGTGCCATATGGTTACAATAAAGGTAGTAATACTAGCCTGTTCTGGACACACAAAACAGCAGATTCCATTAAAGCAGGATTCAGAGGAAATCCCTGCCTATGTAGGTCTTCTCCATCCTCAACAGGGTAGAATGTAATCACCTCTTTAAATTCACTTGCCATCTCAGAGTTGGGAGGAATAGAAAGTTAGCATGTAGCAGCCTTCAAAATTCTATTTGACTGTTTCTCAGTGGCTTGCAGCTATGGTTCTCTCAATCTGACTTCACGCATGGAGAGCTGGAGAATTTGTGCCCACCTGCTTTATCACAGATTTACCTAATAGAGAATCTGGCCATGACTTTTCAGATACTCCACAACCTATATCACTCAGTGACCCAGCTATGTGGTCTCAGTATTGATCTGAGCCTCCTATTGCCAATCTACTAATAGAATTAAGGAAGCAGGTATACCCTCTGATAAAGTAAGTTACTTTTAAAGTACTGTAGTGCAAAACAGGGAGCTCTAGTTGCGCAGTGGCTAAGAGCTTGGCTGCTAACCAAAAGGCGGGCAGTTGGAATCCACCAGCCTCTCCTTGGAAACCCAATGAAGCAGTTCTACTCTGTCTTATGGGGTTACTTTGAGTCGTAATCTGCATCAGGTTTGGTTTGGTTTTTTTGGTTAGTGCAAAACAGCTATGTCTCAACTCTGTCTTTTTAAATATGTTTCTAAATAATTGGAGTGCCATTTTGATAACCACGTGGCCTTTTATTCCCTGATGATGCAGCCCTTTTATAATGCAAGAATGCTTCAGGAAGTGATTGAACCTGTTGCCTCATTACTGGAATAAAGAGTTCCCTCACCCAAACTCAAATCCTCAGCTTTGACTGATGAATATTAGCATTCAACAAGATAATTCTAAAATAATCCTCTTCTTGGCTGTGCTCTACAAGTGCTTTCCAGGATCTTCTCCAAGTGGAGAAGAACCTTTTATCCTGGCCGATGCCCTTCTGAGGGGCTGCAGTTTTCTGAAGAAGATGACAGTCTTATCTAGATCGTTTAAGCATACGGCTGTGCACATTGCCAAAAGCAAAGGATGGAGATACTGCAGACTTTTGTCTGGGAACATTTTGAATTCACTGCTGTAATACCTTTCAAAAGCTTGTCAGAGAACATCAGTGATTTGGGAGGACTGTGTGGGAGGAAGGTACTCTGTTCCTCTAGAATGATTTGAGATTGGGGAGGAGCCCTTCCTCCCATGAACCTCATTGCTGTATGGGTCAGTGTGACTGCTGGGAGAGGATTGTTGTGTCCCTTGGGTCTGCTGCAGGTGACAGAAAAAAAAATCCAAGGACCACTGCTCTTGGTACTGAAACATTGCTTCTATATTTAAAAATACATTTCAATTACTCAAGAAAAGAAATGTGTTTTGTGTGTTTTGTAAGGAGCTCAAAGATTATGATTAAAGTAGAACTCTACCTTGATCAAACCTCCCACCCATACCTTTCCATAGTCTCAGGAGTAGTTACGCTTCTGAGGGCACTGTTAAGGCTTTGCTGTGTAACCTTCCAGATTCTTTTTCCTTTTATTTTCATAACATGTGTAAATACTTACAGAGTTGAATAGTATTGTTTTCTGGTATCATGCTGTTTGATTCTTTTGCATTTTGCTTTTTTCATTATTGAATGTGTCCTGTATTTCTATGATGGTACGTAAATATCTACCTACCTCATGTTTTAACATGCTACATTTCCCCTAATATATAGATGAACCGTGGTTTATCTAGCCACACTTCTATGAATGAACATTTAGGTTCAGACAGTGTTTTTGGCCTTTTTTTTTTTAACAGCAAAGCTTTATTTTAAGTGAGTTATCACATGCAATCCCAATATATAAAATAAATAAAATTTGAAATTGGTCTACCCCTCAATTAATTTATAACAACAGAAAGCCTGCTAATTTGCCACTTAGTAACTTGGGCAAATTTTGCATTTCTGCGTTGTTCATATACTTTCTGCCTCAGTTCCTTTATCTGCAAAGTGGGAATAAAAATAATATTCATCTCATGGGGTTGTGGGAAGGATTAAATGAGTTAGTACCTGTAAAGTTCACTAAACAGTGCCTGGCACAATATTAGTGCCAAGTAAGTGTTTGCTCTGTATTTATGGCATTGTGCTCGGGCTGCATTGTATTGGTTTCTCTAGAGTTGCTTTGGCTTTTGGCCCATATTGTCCCTTAACCTTTGACCTATTTTGATGACTCACAAGAAAGCAATGAGTTCTATTGCACTCTGTTTACTCTGAGGATATTGTTATGGACAATGTTTATCTCATTACACAGAGCCCTTCTATGGAAACAAGAGAAATTTCTTCCTGGTCTGTACCTCAGGAATACTTACGCTCCTCCTAAGCATATCCACTCAATTTCATTTTACCGTACAGGTCTGTGCACCTTTTAACCGATCATGTTTCCCTTTTTCCACTGACTGCCAGAGTGGATCCAAATTATTGATCCACTTCTAGCAAGTGTTGTAGACTCTGTGGCATACGTTTTGTGTATTATCTGGGCTTATGGCTTGATCTTCCTTTCTTATGGAGTTGTTTGTCAACTAATAGAAATATCTGCCTCTGTGGGTGATTGCATGGGTAGGCCTTTTATTATAGTGAGGAACATACTGCACACCATTCGAGTAAGGCGCAGTTGGTGTAGTGGCTCGATGGAGTCTTGAAAAAGGAGTCCATGCTTTGGTCTTCTTTCCTTTGCCTCCTGCTAGAAAGCTGGCAGCTGGCCAGTGCTGGGTGACCCCATGCACACACTAACACTGGCTCTAGGGTCCAACATGCAGAGCTTTACTTGGGTACCTGGGCCTTTTCTATTGTCTCTGTCCCCTGAAGATCACTGTCATGTAAGTTCTTTGGGAGAGAAGCGTTTGACCTGCTGTTAAGAATTGTTTTATTCTCCTTTCTTGTCAGGTTCTGAGAAAATGTAGGTTATAATTATTATCCTTGGATGCTAGTCAGAGAGTTTGACCATGTGAGAACCAGAATATTAATTGTAACAACAATAAACTGCCACCAACAAAGAAGTCATTTGTGATTGTTAAGGCCCTTTGTCTGTGGTATGAAAGAGCTTCCATAACCATGAACAAGAAGCAGACTTGAGAGACTGGACTAAAAGGCAGTGGTATGGCAGCGGGCGCCGTGTACCACACTAGACTGTGACTGGCACAGCTGCCCTGGGAAATGGCCCCTGGGCCAGCCCTCCCACCGCGTCTTTAACAAACAGCCACTGCTTCTCTCACAAGTAGGACTCCTGGGCTTGAATGAAGAATGCTTGGTTTCTCATTTCTGTTCTAGGACTGGGCCTGGCTCTGTCACCAGGCATTGCATTGGGAAGGGTGGGATAAGAGGAGGAAGGAGGTCCCCTGTTTCATGGAGGAGGGTTGGGGAGCCAATTCTGAAGATCAGAATGTGGGAAATGGGCTCCGGAGAAGGTGCTTGGGTTTCCTCTCTGACCTCCCCATCTGCACAACCATGACTTTCCTCTGGGGAGGTGGGCACCTGCCTGCCTCATGAACATTGGAGCACTTATTCCTCTCTCAGCTCAGATTATCATGACTGTCACTTCCCCATTTCGCAATAAGAGCTACTTTTTCAGCCTGTCTGGACTCCAGATGTCCCACTTCGGGCCCCTAGTTTCAGCATGAAGGAGGGAGCATTGGTGGTGTCTGGCCAGCTTAATGCCATCAGCAGCTCTCTCCCTCCTCCCTGGGTGTTCACACCCAGCAGACATGTCCTAGAAAGCGACTGCAGCTCCTGTGTCCTTTTATAAGACTCTGTCTCTCAGCTACCTTTTCAAACCCTCTCCCCTTCCTCTGTTTTCTGTGGTTTGTGACTGCTTTCCAGTTGGCATGTTTTCCCTCTGCTTAGCCCTTTGAGATCCCTCCAGCTCTTATTTAGGTTCTTCTCAAGATGCTTCATCTTAGATTGCTTCTCTCAGCTCTAACACTGTGGAAGCATGCTGTGCCAGCCTGCTTCTCTCGGGGTGAGGTTGGCTACTTCTGGAGGGGATGTGTGTGTAGACAGAGGACCATGCAGTTAGCGTCCGCCACCCTCCATGCACATTGCTGTGTTCAGGACAGGCTTCCATGCTGCCAAGTGTGCCGTGGCTCCAGAGGACCCTGGCTGGACAGTTAGGAGATACCAAGATCTGTGCAGGAGTTGTTCCTACATAGTTCCTTGGTGAATGGTACCACCTCCCAGGTCTCCTCAGAGAGTAGACCCTTATTGTTGCTGGTGCCTCTCTCAGGCTAGTGCCTCCAGCTGAACCAGACCCAACATGTTGAGTCAAGTCAAGCACCACTGGGTCTGGAGCTCCATGGAGCCCTCCCGGGCAAGAGTGAGGTCATCCAGGGGCTGGTTTTGCCAACTTTCAAGGCACACCTTTCAACGGCATCTGGTCTGGTCCTCCTTGTAGTAGTTTTGAAATCTTGTGGTTTCCTGTTTTGGTGGGTGGTTTTGCACTTATAATCAGCCAAACTGTCCTCACAAATCACATACTCCGTTTGAAAGTTGGTTAGATGTTTTCCCAACCTTTTAGTGTCTTCTTTTTTTCCTCTTTAATCCCAGGTAAACCATCACGGTGCTGCTAGTAATGAAACCTACCAGGAACGCTTGGCACGTCTAGAAGGAGATAAGGAGTCCCTCATATTACAGGTGGGTCGTTTCTGATGAGAACCAGCGTATCTTGTTACCTCCGGTTCTGTAGCCTCCCCTTAGTAGGAGGGAAGTACAAGGGATTTTCACTGTTGGATTTATCCTGACCCAAAGTGTACATTTTAAAAAAGACTTTTCCTGAAACAAAGCAGAAAGTAACTTGGGGAGCAGTTTAACTTTGGACTTGACTTGGGGGTCTGTGAATTTATTCATTTATCATGCACTACCTAGCACCTGCCTCTACAAACTGGATGCTCTGTGGCCAAGTGGATTACTGGGTGCTAAGAATGAACAAGATGAGAGCCTGTCATCCGGGAGTCTTATGAGGGAGATAAGATGTGTCCTGTGTCACTACTAAAACAGAGCCATGAGTGATGCAAGGCCTAAGGGTGATTGCTAACGGGATCAGAACCAAAATTGTCTGGAGACGGCTCTAGACTGATCAGTTTGATGCCAAATTTCTGGGAGCTGGTAATATGGATTAAACCTTTCATGACTCTCTTGCTTGGAAGAGAACTCCAGAACTTTTAATGGAGAAATATAGTCAAAGGAACTTTTTTACTTCTGAAAGCTTGCATTCCCTGGTAGGACATAAAGTTACGTATTCTTACAGGAGGCCTATTGCTGAAGCAGGGGCTCTTTGCTGTGTGAACTGTCGTATGCATAAACTGATTTAGCAAGCATTTACTCCAGGTCTGGTATGTATCAGACACTGATTGACAGTTTAGAGAATATAAAGATTAATATCCTAATCCCAGCTCCTTAGAAAGCTTTAAGGGTTGTGGACAAAACTGGTAGTTGAATGGAGGAGGGAACAGATGGAGTCTTAGAACCTCCCCAGGCTCTGGGCTTTAGCTTAGGTTGTGAGTCTGCAATATGTTTGTTTTTCCTTTTTTAATCTTATTTCTGTTTTATTTTATGAACATAAGAGTAATAGATGATTTTAGAAACTTTGAAGAGTTTAAAAGTTTGAAGAAGCAAGTTTTTTCCGGTCTTTTTTCCTGTTCTTGCCCTTTTTATAATAATTGAGTTCACATACCAAACATACAATTTTGCATTCCAGTTTTTCCTTCCTCACTTAATTGAATTGTTCACTAAAAGCATTGGGGTGTCCACAATTTGCTGGATACTTGTTTTCAGTGCTGGGAATGCAGCAGTGAACAGTCAGGTCCTGTTCTTGTAAAGCTTCCCTTTTAGTGTGTGTGGAGGGGGTGGGGGGATGAGGGTGGAGGAGTGGACAGTAAACAAACCATACACATAAAATATGTCAGGTGGTGAGAAGTGCTTTGGAGTAAACAAAGCTTGCTAAGGAGTAACAAATCAGGGAAGACCTCTGATAGGAAGAGACCCCAAGAAGCTGGGCAGGGAGCTGCAGAGATCTGAGAAGCACATTCCAGGCAGAGGAGGCTGTCAGTCAAGAAGCCCTGAGGTAGGCATGTGCTGAGTGTGGGGAGAACAGCAGGGGCCATTGTGGCTGGAGTTGATGTACGTGAGGAAGCTCTGTGGGAGTTGCCATCAGAGAGAGAGCAGGGGCTAGATTTTATAGCCCATTATAACACAGATGGTTTGAGGGAGGTGTAATTTGAAACTCCATCCCAATGACATGATTGATGATAAAGTGTCCAGCTTAGCATTTTGCAGAAAATAGTGTGAACTTGCAAACTTTTGAACCAGGACCCTTCGTGATTAACGTGTTCCTATTTAGAGGGGATTTACAATTTATTAAAAAAGCCCTATGTAATAAATATTTTCTTGGAGATTTTTTTTTTTTTAATTCTGAATTTTTCAATAATCCTTATTTGAATAACCCTAGTGGAATTTGGAAGTTGCTTACCAGAAAAGTCAGAAGTTGACCCTAAAGGTTTCTGTTCTGCTAGGAGTTTGTGAATCGACTTTTGGAGTTTCTCTTATGTGACTACTGTTTTAGTGGCCCTGTGGAGCTGGTTAGACAGATTCTCAACCTCTTGCTTAATTCTCAACAGTAGCTCATCCAGACTGAATTAATTGGAGCCCTTGGCCCAGAATTTTTCCTGGGTCTACACTCCTCTTCAGAGAGAACAAGGCAAATCACACGTAACAAAATACTTTGTTTCCAGGATTAGTTTAAAAAAAAAAAAAATCTTTGTAATTATTATAACTCCTTTAAACCAGTGATTTTCATTTTTGTTTTTCTCAATTGTATCCCCCCTAGGGCCTAAAATTATCCCTAACTCGTGGTAGAGACTCAATAAATATTTGTTTTTATTGAGTGAAGGTTATATTCTAGGGTTTTTATACACTTTGTACCCATTTTTCACAGCTCTCCATTCATAGTACTTAGAGCGTGGACTGAGGTTAATAAGGATCTGCAGCCCTGCGTAGCTTGAGTCTTAACTGGGAGCTGAACTGTGGGCTGTAGAACGCTAGAGACCACTGGATGCCTCCAGTGCATGACTCCAAGACATGGTGCAGACCATGTCTTAATCCACATAATAAGATTAACCATGAAACAGCCTTCCCAAACAGAAACTCTAGAAGCCAGAGAGCAAAGCCCACTCCCCTGAATCCCACCCTTTTGAAAAAGTGAAGTTAGTAGCTAAAAAGGTCAGGACTGCTGATAGTGTTGTGCAACAAGGATTAAAATCACAAAGATTTGTGTTTAAAATGAACCTAGTTGACAAAAGTAGCCTATTTTGGATTAAAATTGAAATCTCAGCTCACACCATGCATCACCTCCAGGAATATATTTCAATAATTCATTAATCATTTGGGAACTTAAAAAGAGAAAGTTTCAAGTTGCCATGTTAATTTACATTAGTTTCTCTTTAAACAGGGACCTTTATAATTCATAAAGTTTATTTAAACACTTGTAAATGAATTCACATTAACTCTTTTATGCCCCACCCTTGAGTCCCTGGGTGGTGCAAACAGTTAACTGTGCTCAGCTGCTAATCCTAAAGGTTGGTGGTTTAAGTCCACCCAGAGGCACTTCAGAAAAAAATTAGTCACTGAAAACACTATGGAGCACAATTCTACTCGGACACACGAGTTTGCGTCAGTTGTGATTGACTGGACGGCAGCTAGTACTGGTATTATTCCTTTACAGACTGAGAAATGATTTAGGATAATCTATGTGCAGATGGCAATTACTCAACCATTGGTTAAAAACCAAAGGGCCAAAAGGTTGTTAATCTACTGATACTTGATTGTTTTTGAGGGCTACACTTTCTTTCTTCATCTTCCTACTTTGAGGTATCTCTTTAAAAAAAAAAGGAAAGGATGAAGAAGGAAAAGAAAAAGGATTGTGGGGCAGTTTGCTGAGAGAGATGGCTACGAAAGCTCAATGTGTATTTAGGGCATACTTTAAATGACTGTTTCAAATGGTTTTTTATCAATAATTCCAATAGAGATTCTCCGTGTTCTTCAGAAAGATGACTCTTTTCCTGCCACTATACGTGTAATGTGGCTTCTGTATATTTATGACTTAGAGTCATGTTTTGGCCTGTGAAGCATGAACACCTTTCTGTAGCCAAGTTTTGTCAGTGCTAATACTTGCCCTTTACATCCCACATTCCTTAATTGCTTCAGAATGCTTGTCTGATAGGTGAGCAGTCCTCACACCCTTATGAGAGAGGTAAGGTCATTGGTTAGCTTGCACAGAAGTTTGGATTACTCTTCCCCATGAGGTGGCAGGATCCCTGGCAGGCCAGCTGAGATAGTCTTGAGATTGGGGCTGCCTGAGGGAACCCTATAAGAGGAGTAAGGAGCAGGGCCCAGCCCAGAGGCAGCTCTCTTGGCTGTTGGGTATTTTTCTCTTGAGTCCGTCAAGAGCCAGAAACGTGACTTTAACATTCAGGCAGTGGCCCAGATTCCCTGGCAAGGTATGAACCAAATTGGAGTTTTCTTCATCCAGGTCACTTCCCCTGCCCCACAAAAGAAAAGCCATTTCTTGTGTATAAGGAAGGCTCAGTGGTGTGGTGTCACAGTTCACCTGCAGGTGGAGAGAGTTTCTTGCCCCACACAGAGTTCCTCCACCTTTGCTTTATTTCCTGGGACAGGTGAGTGTCCTCACAGACCAAGTGGAAGCCCAAGGAGAGAAGATCCGGGATCTGGAATTGTGTCTGGAAGGACACCAGGTGAAACTTAATGCTGCTGAAGAGATGCTTCAACAGGTAAGGGCAAGTGGAGCTGAAGGAAGGCCCTTGGGTTCTGAAGCAGCTCATGTGTTGCAGTCCCTTTTTGTGTCTAGGTTACAGCTCTCACTGCTTACTTTCCCATCCTGCCTAGAGGCGGGGTTGGCTGCTCACTGTGCAGTGTTTATGCAGCAGGTGAAACCAGCCAGAGCACTGAGAGTGGCAGAAGGGGTGGGGCAGGAGAATAACCTGTTGAGCTGGTTAGAGAAATCACAGAAGGGCACTTTCTCCAGGCCTTGCTCAATGAAGGAGCACTCTGCTGGCAACATCAACGCCCTCTTATCACATGAACCATGGTCTGCCTGTGGGTGGCATCTGGGGTTCTAGAAAGTCACTTTGTCAGCTTATTTGTGCCTTTCCCCATCTGCTCTCATTCCACCCCCTCCCACTCAGTGTAGTTTTCTTTGATAAAACTTACTGTATAAATAATATTTTAGTATAATTTCATAGATATCAAAATGTAAAAAAAAAATTAGCAGATCTCCTGCTGTCCAAATAAACCTGGTAACTATCTTCTCTTTGTTTCCTTTTGGTTTTTGTTCTTAAGTGTACATATAATTTACAAAGCTCTAGTCACACCAGAGATACAATTTAGTCCTCAGTTTTTATATGCATTATCATAGTCTGAATTTTTCTCATTTAAAAATTTAGCTGTATAGTTGTCGGTACTACCACTTATAGATTTTTTGAGTGAAAATGTTACCATTTAAGCATTCTACTCTTGAACAGTTTTACACTACTGTAAATAATGAGCTGCAGTGAGTATTTAGGAGCCTTGGTGATGCAGTGGTTTAGACCTCAGCTTTTTTTTAAATTGTACTTTAGACGAAGGTTTACAGAACAAACTAGCTTCTCATTAAACAATTAGTACACATATTGTTTTTGACGTTGGTTTCCAACCCCATGACATGTCAACACTGTCCCCCTCTTGACCTTGGGTTCCCTATTACCAGCTTTCCTGTCCCCTCTTGCTTTCTAGTCCTTGCCCCTGAACTGGTGTGCCCCTTTAGTCTCGTTTTGTTTTATGGGCCTGTCTAATCTTTGGCTGAAGGGTGAACCTCAGGAGTGATTTCATTACTGAGCTAAAAGGGTGGCCGGGGGCCATACTCTCAGGGTTTCTCCAGTCTCTGTCAGGCCAGTAAGTCTGGTCTTTTTTTGTGAGTTAGAATTTTGTTTTACATTTTTCTCCAGCTATATGCGGGACCATTTATTGTGATCTCTGTCACAGCAGTCTTTGGTGGTGGCTGGGCACCATCTAGTTATGCTGAACTCAGTCTGGTGGAGGCTGTGGTATTTGTGGTCCATTAGTCCTCTGGACTAATCTTTCCCTTGTGTCTTTGGTTTTCTTCATTTTCCTTTGAAGAGCCCACCTGTTAATCAAAAGGTTGGCAGTTCAGATCCACCATCTGCTCCTTGGAAACCCTATGGGGCAGTTCTACTCTGTCCTATAGGGTTGCTATGAGTTGGAATCGACTTGACAGCAGCGGATTGTTTTGGTAATGAGTATTTATTTTTAGAATAAGTTTTTTATGATGAAGTCCCAGAAGTGCTTTGAAAGGTGTGAATAGTTATGACCCTTGATATTTATTGCCAAGTAACTTCTCCCAGCAGTGGTTGAGTAAAAGTTTACCAAGAAAACATTCATATTATCTGTAAATAATGACATATATTTAAAGTAAAGGGAAAGCATAAATGTCTGTTATGTCTGTTTCACGGCTTATTGCATTGGCCGGATCTTATATAACAATAGTAAATAAAAGTAATGACACTGGAGTTGAGTCGCAGCTGCCTTCTTTACACAGGACGTGTTCAGGGTGCAGGGTTATCAGGAGCACATACCCAGGGGAAGACCTGCATCTATAGACAGTCAGAGGCCCCACACCGAGGCAGTGAGAGGGCTCCTGTAGAGCTCCTCTGGCATTTGAGTAGAAGGCCAGGCTTGGCTCAGGGTGGGAATGGTCTTTAAGGGTTAGCAGAAAGAGGTTACTGTTTGCCTCAGTCCTCTGCCTCTAGGCCATAAGCCATCCCTGCTCCTGCAACATTGGCCAAGAGCCTGCAGCCCAGGATATCAGGATATCTCAGTCAAACCGGGCAAGCCTCTGCCTGTCCCATTGTAGAGGACTCGTACTCCAAGCTATATAGATGGCATAGCGTCAGTGCTGAGGTGTAAGCATCAAGTGTCTTTACAAACAACATCTGTACATTTCTATACTGTACATTTCTGTCTTCTTCCTGATTTAATGATTCTTCATTAGGCCTAACGATGGCTATGGGTTTAAAATAGATATAATGTACTAAATCAAGAAATGACTGTCCTACTGTACTAAATCAAGAAATGACTGTCCTATTTCTGTTTCTAAAGTTGTTTTTAGGAAGAGATGTTAAATTTTTATCAAAAGTCTTTTCAGAGTCTGTTGAGAAGCCAATTAGATTTTTTAAAACCAAATCTATTAATACATATCTAATTAATTGATTTTCTTAACTATTCTTGCATTTTCAGTCATTTTGAAAAATAAACCAGGACTGAAGTTGATGTGTTTTCTTTGTAGCTCCTAGCATAGTACTTGGCACATAAAAGATACTCACTAATTACTTAGAGAGTGAAAGTCAGTCCCTTAAAATGAGTGGGTTCAGTTAGATCACTGCCTGTGATCTTTTTCCCCAGAGCTCTGACATTTTCTATTGCCTTGATCAGCATGAGATTCAAATTTTTCTTGACAGTTTGGTAATGAACACAGGCTTGAATTTGACCTTTCGTCTTAGGATGAATATCTTAGTTCCCAGGTGTTCCTCAGTTTCATTTAAGTGCATTTGAAGAACTTTAAAAAAAGAAGAAAGGCAAGTCAGTATTTTTATGCAAATGTCTTCATAAAAACTCATTCCAATGGCTCAGAAGCTGTTATTAGCTTGTTTTCTTTGCATTGCTCATTAATAAGTTATCACATTCTTGGCTCCATTTGATTTTCACTTAAATTGTGTGCCATATCTCTTGCTCATAATATTCCCAGAAAATCTGAGTAACGATAAGAGTTGAGTCATTCTCTTTAAGACCCAGGAAAGAAAACAGTCTGATGGGAAAAAAATCTCAAGTGACAAGGGTGTGTTGTCATAAAGAGTGAAGGAGATACCCTGCTAGACTGACTTTTCAAGTCTGCACAAGGTGTGGTTTGGAGGTGGTGGAGTGTTGTAAAAAATCCAGAAAGAGACAAAGAAAATTTGAATGTGGAGGGCACGTGTCAGAAAAATGTCAGAGGGTTGATATTTCAGGAAGGCAGTGCCTGATGTGGAACCATGGAACAGGAGGTCAGAGAATGGCTGCCTTGTAGTCCCCGAGTTATCTGACTGTCCGCCTGGGTTCTCTTTCAGGGCTGCTCTACATAGCTCTCCATGGCAATGTCTCCGCCCTCGTGTCAGAGTCTCTCTGTCGATGAATCTGATGTTGGTGCCCAGCACCACCTGGGGAGAGGCCAGCTTGTCTCTGTAAGCAGTGTACCGTGGACTGCATTTTGTTGGTTTTGTTCTTAGGTGCCGTTGAGTTGGCCTCAAACTTGGCAGTGACCTTATGTGTAACAGAACGAAACACTGCCTGACTGCATTTTTGACACTTTTAAAAGACTTACTTTCTTAAACTTAATTACCTTTTGCGTCCTTTTTGATTCTAAGTCCCCTCTGTTGTGTGAGACAGGTAAAGTAATAGGCATGTGGTTTGCATGTGCCATAGAGGTGGGTGCCTTGGCTTGTGTATTCCCTAGGCGGTACAAACGGTTAAGCACTTGTCTGCTAACCAAAAGGTTGATGGTTAGAGTCCACCCATAGGCTCCTTGGAAGAAAGGCCTGGCAATCTACTTCCAAAAAAAATCAGCCGTTAAAAACTCTACGGAGCACAGTTCTACTCTGATGCACATGGGGTTGCCATAAGTGGGAATTGACTCTACAGCAATTGGATTTTTTTAGCTCCTTATTTGCCACTTCTAGGTTTGAAACATCTTCCTGAACTTAACCAAGTTATTTTTATGCCTGTAAGCTTTCAATGCATTCTCTCAATTTTTGAAGGGTAAAATGATAGGAGTATGTGATACTCCTTTTTTGGCAAGTTCTGAGTTATAGTACATGTTGGAACCTTAGCAGCCACCCATGTGTTTCCTGGGCTTGGTGACACCTGAGCTTTCGATCTTTGGATTCCACCTCTGATTCCCAAGTTGAATGTTCTGCTGCATATATGATTGCTTTCCTGAAGTCTGCTCTATATTGTTTGTAAAGACACTTGATGCTCACACCTCAGCGCTGATGGCATGCTGTCTATAGCTTGGAGTACATGTCCTCTGCGCTGGGGCAGGCAGAGGCTTGCCCGGTTTGACTGAGATATCCTGTGCTGCAGGGCTCTTGGCTTATGTGGCAGGAGCAGGAATGGCTCATGGCCTAGAGGCAAAGAACTGAGGCAAACAGTCACCTGTTTCTGCTAGCCCTTAAAGACCATTCCTGCCCTGAGCCAAGCCTGGCCTTCTACTCAAATGCCAGAGAAGCGCTAAAGGAGCCCTCTCTCTGCCTCAGTGTGGGGCCTCTGACTGCCTATAGATGCAGGGCTTCCCCTGGGTGTGTGTTCCTGCTAATTCTGCACGCTGAATGCATTCTGTATAAAGGAGGCAGCTGCTACTCAACTCCAGCTGACTGCCCATGTAGACCCAATACTGCTAGATCTTCCCATATCACCTAAGAAGCTGAAAATCCAGTTTATAAAATAGTACATGTGTGTATATATATGTAAATGTTTCTATTTTAAAAATATTAATAACCAATTTAAATTAAAAAATACTATGTGAACCACAGAATACATACCTATAGGCCAGATTTGGCCCATGAACCTCCGGTATACAACCTCTGCCCTAGGCTTCGTCCGCCTCTGCTGACCAGCCATCTGACTTGAATAGCACTTGGGGTACTTAAGAAACCTCAGATGCAAACAGCATTGCCCAAACCCT